AGGTAGGGGGGTAAGAGATCAACCAAAGGACTTGTATACATGCATATAAGCATAACCAATGGACATAAGACACTGGGGGATGGGGGAGGCTAGGGGACTGTCTTGGGCGGGGGGAAAAAATGGACACATATGTAATACCCTTTGTAATAAATAATAAAATAAAAAAAAGTTAAAAAAAAAAAAGAACAAAAAAGGTTCATACCCTTTGACATTATAATCATATTGCCAGGAAAATATCTATAACAAGGAAAATATCTATACAAGGATGTTCGCTGTAGTATAACTTATGATAATAAAAATTGGAAATAACTCTGATTATAATTTACTTATTTTAAGGACTGCTGAAAGTCCATAGAAGTAAGGCCATAGAGAATACAATGCAGTTATAAAAAATGATAGAGGGTAATTTAACATGGGAAAATGGTCATAACACAATGTTGTCATGATGCAAATTTTTTATAAAGTACACCACCAATTTTTGTTTAAAGAAATATGCTCAGGCCCTGGCCAGTGTGGCTTAGTTGATTAAGTGAGCGTTGTCCCATGTACCAAAAGGCCGCTGGTTTGATTCTTGCTCAGTGCACATGACCGGGTTATGGGGTAGATCAGTAGAAACATATTTAAAGAAAAAATGTTCAAAAAAAGCTGTATATGTTAATCAGAAAACTCCCTTATATATTTTAAAGCTCTCTTTTTCCTCTTTTCCCCCCTCAAAGAACAGCTGCCATCATTGTTTTCCCACAGTAATGTTATATGCTTACATCCCCAACTTTTTCTGCTTTAGACTAGGCCATGGCCATAATTTTAATTGAGAAATGAGGACAAGCCTGAATGGTGTTGCTCAGTGGTTGAGTGTTGACCAATGAACCAAGGGATCATGGGTTTGATTCCTGTTAGGGCACATGCCAGGTTGTGGGCTTGCTTCCCAGTAAGCGGTGTGCAGAAGGTAGCTGATAGATGATGTTTCTTTCTCATCAATGTTTCTATCTCTCCATCACTCTCCATTCCTCTCTCTCTCAAATCAATAAGAACATATTAAAAAAATATATATATTTTTAAGTTGTTTTTTTAAAGAGAAATAAAGGCAATGTGGTCTTTTAAAATCTGCTTTTAAAAAATTTTTGTTTTTTAAATCAATTTTAAAAGTAATTTATGTTGACCTCTTTTTAGCATAAACCATCAATAATAGGAGACAAAGAAGTTACTCACCTATTGTATAAATAACTTCAACATCATCCATTTGGGAATCAGTAATGCTATTCTTGGCTTCACCTTTCATTTCCCCAAGGAGAAAACCTTCCTATGGATAAAAATAAGAAAGGGTAAATATATGGAATATACTGATAGTATGACCATTCAGTCACTTAACTAACCAATCTCTCAAGTATTTAACAATGTATACAGTATGTGCTTCCAGCTTGGGGGCACAGAAAACAAAGACTAGATGCATTCTAAGTTTAGTTGGGAAACATGAACAGTTAAATAAAAATGAGTAGAGACTGTAAGTGCCACTGTAATTTCAGCATATTTGGGAGAATAAAAGTTTAAAGCCAGAAATGAGCACACAATGCCTGAGGAATGAGGAGCAGGGCAGTTTGCCTGGGAACTGAAGGCTCCCATTTGTAAGGAAATCATAGATAGGAATAACACCAGTAATGGAACATCCCAAATGACTAGCCAAGGACTCTGAATTGATAGCACGTGCTTCTGGGAGCCAGTGGAGGCTTCTGAGCCTATAAAATGACAATGATCAATGCTTTTAGATTAAAAATCGTGCAAAACATTAAAGACTTGAAATTCAGTGTCAGAGTCTTTCTAAAAGGGGAGCTGAAAAAAAAGAAAGAAATAGCCCAGCCAGCGTGGCTCAGTGGTTGAGCGTCGACCTATGAACCAGGAGGTCAGGGTTCGATTCCTGGTCAGGGTACATGCCCGGGGTTGTGGGCTGGATCCCCAGTGTGAGCATGCAGGAGGCAGCAGATCAGTGATTCTCTCTCATCATTGATGTTTCTATCTCTTTCTCTCTCTCCCTTCCTCTCTGAAATCAATAAAAACATAAATTAAAAATATCTATTAAAATCCATCTGATTAATCTACATTCCTACAATTCTTTCCTGCTAAAACAATGGTGATTTCTTTTGAGTGCTGGAGAGTTCACTTATTTCTCTTGGCACTTTTAAAGACCCACGTGCTTGACCAACAATGAAGATTTTATTGTCATTATAATTAAAAACACTTTTTCCTCCCCATTTCATTAAAGAAGAGCACAAAAGGAATGTTTCCACGATGTGAGGTGGACAAAAGGGGAACCAAATCCAGAACTTTACGCTCTAGTACTCTAGACAAATCCTGGGAAAGGAAGCGGGACAACACAAGTATGATTAGAAAGTCAGCCTTCAGCCCCGGGGCTTGGTGGCTGCGTGCACACCCATGCACACCCATGCACCAGGGGGCCACTGGTTTGAGTCTCTGTCAGGGCACACACGGCCGGTTCCGGCTCCTTCCCCGGCAGGGAGCATGCAGGGGGCAACCAATCCACGTTTCTATCTCTCCCTCTCCCTTCCCCTCTCTCTAAATATCAATACATATTTTAAAAAGGAAAAAGAAAATCACCCTTTAAAGACTAAAGGAAACAGATTTAAGAAACAAGGGCCTAGCATTATGACCCTTTCCAAGGGCTAATATGCTACAGAGGACTTAAGGACCCATTCTGTTTACATTTACACCAAGACATTCCAAAATAATTTCCGCAGCTACATACATTTAAAAGAGTCCTATTTGCCTTTTCTAGGTGTTAATCAAGGTTATTTAAGAAATGACTAGAGTTTGTTCAGTATTTTCTAAACTATTAGCAAGTTATTAAGCACTTACTCTAGGGCACTACTTCCTGGGCTCAAAGTTTTAGTGTTTAATTTTCATGAAAAATACGTTTTAAAAAATAGACACTGTATTTTTAAAACTACTTCAGAGGGTTTTAACCGAGGGCCTAGGGCAATTATATGAAATAAGCATTTAAAATCTACTATTTGAGCATAACTATTTAAATCATAACTGAAAGCATCAGAAAAGGAACTAGCTGAGGCCTTACAATTTAATAATGTAATACTGATGCAAACGTCAGAGATCCGATACCCAATTAGGCTTTTTCACCCACTTAGATTCCCCCCAAAATGGCCCCTGGGTGCAGCGCCTCTGTATCCCGTAACCGGCTACCATTTCAGCGAACTCGGCGGTGGTGAGAACGACTGTCGGTAACGGAAGACAGGGAGCCGGCCAGCCCCAGCCCGGGCGGCCGAACGCGGTGTGCTTTCTACTCACAGCCGGCCGGGCCGGGAAGGGGGGCGGGGGAGAGAGTAATGGGGTGTGCGGGCCACTCGGTACGGGCTCGGAACCAACGCTGCTTCGCAAAGGGAGGGCTCATCCCGCAAAGATCTTGCGGGCGGGAGG